AAAAACAATTTGCAAACTGGAATATTTCACGGTAGGTACAAAGTATTGTTTCTTGCTCTTAAAATTTTCAAACCTTTAACCTTTTTTATTGTTAAAGAATATTTATTATGACTTATGACGCGATCTATTATCGTGCATTAACACGGACTATGAATTTGTTTGGGTGATTTTTAAAGGATCACGCTGTTTACCAGACATTTTTCAAGGGGCACGACCCAACTGCAGCAATCATCAATTCATAGGTAACCCGAAAACTAGGAAGCGCCAATTAGAAAATAAACAATTAAATGCATACGATTATAACAGACATTTTTCAAGGGGCACGACCCAACTGCAGCAATCATCAATTCATAGGTAACCCGAAAACTAGGAAGCGCCAATTAGAAAATAAACAATTAAATGCATACGATTATAACAGACATTTTTCAAGGGGCACGACCCAACTGCAGCAATCATCAATTCATAGGTAACCCGAAAACTAGGAAGCGCCAATTAGAAAATAAACAATTAAATGCATACGATTATAACAGACATTTTTCAAGGGGCACGACCCAACTGCAGCAATCATCAATTCATAGGTAACCCGAAAACTAGGAAGCGCCAATTAGAAAATAAACAATTAAATGCATACGATTATAACAGACATTTTTCAAGGGGCACGACCCAACTGCAGCAATCATCAATTCATAGGTAACCCGAAAACTAGGAAGCGGCAATCACAAAATAATCAAACTTTGACAGAAGTACCTAAACCATTTTATTTATAAAAAAAAATTTAGCTTATGATGCTATTATGAGAGTTTTGATATACATTTGTTTAAATGTCCTGTTGTTATACATAACTGCTTAACTGTTTGACCCTTCGACATTGAGATGTCATTCTCATGTTAGCGTCTCGTTTTTCAGTTCGCTTAGTAAACAGTTTGAACAGTTCATGAACCTTACCACTGTTGCAGTATGTGGTGATAAAAATGACCATTTCTGTTAGAACTTTATCGAAATATTTAGCATATAATAAGGGAGCAGCTGCTTCCCAAAAACTTGACAGTTTTGGTCTAGGTTTGTGTCAGTTCAGGTGTCCAATGAGGAGTATTGCCAACTATTTAGGGTAAGCACAATGAACATGATCAAACATTTTCGGAATTTATTGAAATACTGAAAGTATCGCTTTTTCGTTTTTATTTTTATTTTTAATTAGATCTTAAATCAGTGTAAATTGCTTGGTACCTTTATTCGTACTTGGTAAAACGGCCCTATAACCTTTGAATAAATGTTACGTACTAATTATTAATTTTACATTTTATCGGTCATATGTTTAATTACAAATTATATAATTGAAAATTCAACCTCAACTGACTACGAAACCAAACGTTAATAACGAAAAACTTGCGTAATAACTACTGAACCTTAAAAAAAATGACATTAAACACAAGTATGATGCATGTATTTATACGTATTAGATAACTCTACTATCTGCTTTGCTTTACTTTAACTAATATTTTTCTTGTACAAAAAATTTTTCAAGGAATATATCTAAAAAGTTACAACTATAATCGTAGGAGGTAGTTGTTATAAATTATTCGATTAAATGTCATTACAGTCATTAACTTTTAGATTATTTGCAAATGATTTTAGAAGAAACTGGTAAAACGGTAAATTTAACAACTTATTTAGAAAAAATATTCACCGGGAATAGGTATGCATTACATATATTCATAAAAGTATTTAGTGATATTGTAAAACAAATCTTTATGCAAGTTTTATTGGTTGATTAGCGATCATCTTATTTAAACGGGTGATTTTTTGAGACTGCGCATTTATTAATTTAACAAAACAACTAATCAATTAATAAAATCGAACCCGTTAAGTCATTTGTTAGAAATATTAATTAAAAAAAGGGCAGGCAGAAAAAAATTGATAAAAAGTAAATGGAAAATGATAAATTCTGACTTAATAACTCAAAAAACATTTTGCTGTTACGCTGTTACTGTTGAAGGGCGTTACGCGTTATTCAAAAAATTTTGGGGACAATTTTCAGAAAAGTAGAAGATACATTCGGAAAAACTTGATACTGATTTTTATGTTCAGTGAAAATTTTGCCTTACCTATATACCTTACACCTTTGTAGGTACTTACACCACAATTACCTTGAAAAAGATACGATACAATCAAGTGGTAACAATTATGTAGTGTACGTATCTATTTATATCTACTATCTCATTGAGTCACATATTTACCACTTACAAACAAAAGTCGAAATTATAAATTTAAAAAAATTTAGGTACCTTTCACGACTAGTTTCATGCGTACCACATATTTTAATTTTTTTTTTTAAGATGATGCTTTAGAGCAACTTTTTTAAACAACAACAAATAATCTAGTATGTACTTATATCGTTTCTGCATGATTTAAACACAGTTCCAGTCGCGAAGTTTCGCGTTAAGTTCAAAGGTTCCGTACACAATAAAAAATATTCTAAGGATTTGACAACACAAATTCGCGAGTGCTTTTTCAATTACTGTAGTGGCTATAGAACCCTTCTAATTTACTTTCTCCCGAGGGACTACCCGCCCACCAGCATTAGTAATTGGTGGGAATTAATGTTTTTTTAAATTTTTTTATGTACCGTAAGCCTTCCGTTTCCTTTTTTTGCGTCACAAGAAGTTGTCTTTTAGTGAACTGTCAACAGAATGTAGCGAAAAATTGAACGAAAATTTCCAATATTCAAAAGACTAAGATTCTCCTCGATGAATCCCACTCTCGGTGTTCCTCATCAAAGAAGGAGAATATCTAAACAGTATTCCTTTATTTTCGATAAGCGCTGCATGTAGTTGAAGCGTTAGAGAAACATTTCGCTTGAACCGCTTAAATGCTCGCGTTGTAGATGCGCTTCGCTGCCGCTTAATGTGCGATTGCTTTAAATTTGTGCGGAAAATATTCGTTAAAATCGCGCAAGCGCTTGGAAAAACAGCGTTTCTATTAAAAGGATCGTCTGTTTTAGTTACAGTACATCCAGTAAAAGTGTATCTGGAGCAGCAGTTCATGTTAGTGTTTCAACAAAAACTACGGAAAATATAATTATGGATCGTACTGGACAATGGGCCGCCGGTGACAATGTATGTCCTTTCAAACTCAGTGGTCATGATCGACTTCAAAGTCCTGCACTTAATAAGGTAAGATTTTAAATGTTTAATTATAAAATAATCTAATCTCGCTAATAAAACAAACGCTATAAAATCATTAAAACTAAATTAATTTAAAGTACTTACACCTTTAAACAGACACTGAATTTAATTTAATCGGCTATCAAAGAAACATTTTTAAAAACATTCATTTTGTTGCTGCAATGATTCGACGATTTTTGAAGTTTATAATAATTTGGACATAATTGGTTCAATAAAAAAATAATTGCTTTTAATTGTTAGTACTGAAATTTATTATTTAACATTATGAAAACTAAGAGATTTATGTACCTTTCATAAACTAACAAACTTAAATCTTTAATATTTTATTTCTTTACCTTTTCCACTGGCGTACGTGGCAATGTAAAGGTACCCCCTAAATTCCAAGAAAACTATAAGTACAAGTAAGAGATTCCTGCGGATCGATAATTAACATTTCTACTTTTACCTGTAAGATTAATCTCTACAAGCCCAAGGTTTTTATTAGTTTGTATGTATTCTCAAATCAAATGTTGCACTCTCAAAAGCGTAACATTATTAAGCACACTTTCACTATTATTTGAAATTTGGTTAGTAGGTTAAGCAGCAGGCAAGTCCCATGGATTTACCATGAGATTAGTCACTGGTTTTTAACACATTTCCGTCACGAAATAGTAGTAATTCTGCTTAATAATTATGTAATGAGGGAATTGCAGCGAAGTGTGGCTCTCATTGTCATTAAGAAATACTAATTTCCTATTTAAATTTGAACATTTTCAAATTAAACTGCACAATAAAATACTAAATAAATAATTAAGAATGTTTTTCCGGTGTATGTTTAATAGTTACCCAGCGGTTTTTCTTCAAAATACAAGAGCTTAAAAACAACCGTAAATAAAATTCCACTACTTTTTGATTCTTGCTCTTGGAATTCTAAAAATAATATTTGCATTTTGTTGTATATATCAATTAAAAAACCGTTGTTTTGTTTCATCAACAAAAAGGAGTAAGTCTGTATTTTGAACTATAGTTTGACCCCAGGATAACCAGATACATTGTACCTATTTAAAGTCCAGAAAGTAACGTAAATGCAGTTATCATTTTAATTTTTTTCGTATTTTGAACTGTAATTTGACCCCAGGATCACCAGATACATTGTACCTATGTAAAGTCCAAAAAATCACATAAAATGCAGTTACCATTTTAATTTTTTTTTCTGTTTCGAATTCTTTCAAAATAACGATTAGTTTCATACATTTATTAAACTCAATTTCACCGAATATTGACGTAAGAAAAATCTAAAATTATTTCCACTTTGTGTAGCAGAAGTGCTTGTGTACAGAACCTCGTGCCCAAAATTTTAAAACAACAAACAAAAATGATCAAACAGTTTCATTACTTACTTATTTGCTGTAATCCGGTTCTAAAGATACTTCTCCATCTGAGAATATCGGAAAATCTGGAAAAAAAGAACAAAGAAACGTTATCATTTTCGAAAACGGTTTTTGTGGTCAAGAATGATCAATTTAAACCAGGAAACCGCAACAATATCATATCTTCTCATGTTTTCAAAACAGAAAATCACAGTGTGACATCATATCAAATAATTTGATATTCAGATGTTGATAAATAATTTAACCGCTTATCTGATGAGATTTATTTTCGACTATAGACAATAAATGATATGTTAAGCGAAAATATTTTTAAAAATAGAACTGATGCTGGTAGGTATCTCTCAAACTGACGGCATTACTAACGCAAAAGTTAAAACAACAAAATATGTGCCTGGTGTAAACAGTTGGCATTTACTTGGTGAAAGTTAATTAACGAAACAATTCTCATTTCTAAATAAAAATACGCGAAAAGTTTACAAGTTGTTGTTTAATATTTAAACAAATTCTACATTTCTTATGGCTTTTCAGTATGTTATATAATGTAATGCAGGTAGTAATTAACAAAAGTTACAAATACATAACTAATCTTAAGGTGCTTCCTTCAGACTGAACCTTAAAAAAAATGACATTAAACACAAGTATGATGCATGTATTTATACGTATTAGATAACTCTACTATCTGCTTTGCTTTACTTTAACTAATATTTTTCTTGTACAAAAAATTTTTCAAGGAATATATCTAAAAAGTTACAACTATAATCGTAGGAGGTAGTTGTTATAAATTATTCGATTAAATGTCATTACAGTCATTAACTTTTAGATTATTTGCAAATGATTTTAGAAGAAACTGGTAAAACGGTAAATTTAACAACTTATTTAGAAAAAATATCCACCGGGAATAGGTATGCATTACATATATTCATAAAAGTATTTAGTGATATTGTAAAACAAATCTTTATGCAAGTTTTATTGGTTGATTAGCGATCATCTTATTTAAACGGGTGATTTTTTGAGACTGCGCATTTATTAATTTAACAAAACAACTAATCAATTAATAAAATCGAACCCGTTAAGTCATTTGTTAGAAATATTAATTAAAAAAAGGGCAGGCAGAAAAAAATTGATAAAAAGTAAATGGAAAATGATAAATTCTGACTTAATAACTCAAAAAACATTTTGCTGTTACGCTGTTACTGTTGAAGGGCGTTACGCGTTATTCAAAAAATTTTGGGGACAATTTTCAGAAAAGTAGAAGATACATTCGGAAAAACTTGATACTGATTTTTATGTTCAGTGAAAATTTTGCCTTACCTATATACCTTACACCTTTGTAGGTACTTACACCACAATTACCTTGAAAAAGATACGATACAATCAAGTGGTAACAATTATGTAGTGTACGTATCTATTTATATCTACTATCTCATTGAGTCACATATTTACCACTTACAAACAAAAGTCGAAATTATAAATTTAAAAAAATTTAGGTACCTTTCACGACTAGTTTCATGCGTACCACATATTTTAATTTTTTTTTTTAAGATGATGCTTTAGAGCAACTTTTTTAAACAACAACAAATAATCTAGTATGTACTTATATCGTTTCTGCATGATTTAAACACAGTTCCAGTCGCGAAGTTTCGCGTTAAGTTCAAAGGTTCCGTACACAATAAAAAATATTCTAAGGATTTGGCAACACAAATTCGCGAGTGCTTTTTCAATTACTGTAGTGGCTATAGAACCCTTCTAATTTACTTTCTCCCGAGGGACTACCCGCCCACCAGCATTAGTAATTGGTGGGAATTAATGTTTTTTTAAATTTTTTTATGTACCGTAAGCCTTCCGTTTCCTTTTTTTGCGTCACAAGAAGTTGTCTTTTAGTGAACTGTCAACAGAATGTAGCGAAAAATTGAACGAAAATTTCCAATATTCAAAAGACTAAGATTCTCCTCGATGAATCCCACTCTCGGTGTTCCTCATCAAAGAAGGAGAATATCTAAACAGTATTCCTTTATTTTCGATAAGCGCTGCATGTAGTTGAAGCGTTAGAGAAACATTTCGCTTGAACCGCTTAAATGCTCGCGTTGTAGATGCGCTTCGCTGCCGCTTAATGTGCGATTGCTTTAAATTTGTGCGGAAAATATTCGTTAAAATCGCGCAAGCGCTTGGAAAAACAGCGTTTCTATTAAAAGGATCGTCTGTTTTAGTTACAGTACATCCAGTAAAAGTGTATCTGGAGCAGCAGTTCATGTTAGTGTTTCAACAAAAACTACGGAAAATATAATTATGGATCGTACTGGACAATGGGCCGCCGGTGACAATGTATGTCCTTTCAAACTCAGTGGTCATGATCGACTTCAAAGTCCTGCACTTAATAAGGTAAGATTTTAAATGTTTAATTATAAAATAATCTAATCTCGCTAATAAAACAAACGCTATAAAATCATTAAAACTAAATTAATTTAAAGTACTTACACCTTTAAACAGACACTGAATTTAATTTAATCGGCTATCAAAGAAACATTTTTAAANATCAACGACTAAACAAAATTTATGCAAACAAAAACAATTTAATTAATTTGTTATTGTCTACGTTCTGATGAATCTCTTTCCGCGTTAATCATATCTTCAGTGAAATTTTTATTTACAAACCACACGGAAAATAAAAAAATCCAGCAAAATAGTCCCAAATCTTTCTTTTTTATGAAAGATGATTAAACAGAAAAGTTCAAATGTTTAGTGACGACAAAAATGCTGAATAACGCCAGTGACTGTCGAGATGCTCAAACATTTAATATAAACCTAGTTTTTGTATATGTTAACGTTATAATATATAACAACGTAATATAACAATCGAGCAGAGAAAAAATGAAAAAACTGGTGCAAACTGCTTACAGATATCAGCACATATCATTAAATTAAACAATGCGTGTAGCATTGGCAGCAACTACTTACTAAAGGTTAGGAGAAGATAAAAAAATTCTATCATATTGTAACATAATTGCACAATATGTAAAATTGGGATAATCAATTCTTAAAAAGCGAAATAAAAAGCATTTCTAGTCAAGAACACCCTTCAGCTTTTATATTGATTTACAGAAAAATATCCCAGGAACGCCCTTCCTTCCTTATCATTTAAATTTCAGAATAATACAATTCGCAATTTCCGTTTGTTTTTTAGGCGTTCTTATCTGCTGTGACGTCTATCACTGGAGTGTGTAGTGACATAATTATTGTACAACAGAAAAAATAGATACGATAATTGTTTTGAACGCTTTTAACTCGATTATTATGATTTTATTTTATTCTCGTGGCCTTCATGATGCTAGATTGCGATCATTAACGCATTTTAAGCATACTGCTGGAACGCAGGGTTAACATTCGAGATAATAATGTTAAATAATCGATTAAACAATACGTGTACATTCCTACAATTAAGATAATTACATTACGTCACATTAAAATCACCCATTAGTCAGAACTGGTAAAACCAAAATATCGAAATATGATGTGCTAGGTTCAGAATCTACACACTGACATAGTTTTAGCCCTCATGCGCTGCCTAATATGGGCTTGACATCCAGCAGGAGCACTCATATGCTTGTCTTCCTAAAAACATACCGCATGTCGAATACAGAGGACTTAAGTTCGGTAAAAGTCATATCCTTGGATGCGCTTCTCTTTGGTTTAGAGACGAGTCGAGTACCCACTTTCCATCCGGTACCCGTTGTACGCAACACATTTTTTATGATCCGGCCGGGTAACGGATAATGACGCTGGGTACTCGACAGTGCCGGGTAATTCCACCAGAGAAAAAAGTATGAGCACGCGTACGCACGACTACTACTTTTTCTCAAACTTAAAACATATACTGTGTCCAATCATCATCATAAGGTCTTCAGTCCTAAGACTGGTTGGACACGTACCTCCACTCTTTCCTATCCTGAACTAGAAAAAAAAAACTTTTGGGTGTTTCATTCCCACCAGCCACTCATGCTGGTGGGCGGGCAGTCCCTCCGGACTACGCCGGAAGGTAGGGCGGAAGGCCCTCTTCTGCCTGCTTTCAGGAATCGTGGGAATGGGTGGGTGGTGGTGGTTCGGGTGAGAAAGATGAGACGGACGAAATGAAAACTGAAGAGAATGAAAGATTATCTGTGGAATATTACTGCCCCAGCATTTGCTTAAGTGATTCAAGGAAACCACAGAAAAACTTGGACCACGGCAGACGGACCCGGAATCGAACCGGCGTCCTCCCGAATGCTAAGAAATGGTCTAAACCTCTAGGCCATGCCGCTCGGTTCTAAAACTAGAGCAACCCACATCCTTAACTATTTGCGAACACTAATCTAACCTAAGTCTACCTCTACCCCTCCTAACTCCTGTTTCTACGTCTAATATGCCTCTGACTAGACCTTCATGTCTGAGAAGGTGTCCTACCAACCTATCTTGCCTATTTTTTATTGATTTCCACTGTGTCCAATAAGGTCTTGTTTTGTTTCAGGGTTTTGCCTTTACGTTGGAAGAGCGTCAAGCTCTAGGGATTCAGGGACTTCTGCCACCGGTTGTCAGAAGCCAAGATGAGCAACTCCAACACGCTAAACTGCTCATTCAAAGGCTGGACGATGATCTCAATAAATACATGTACCTTATGAGTTTACTTGTAAGCCTATTGACTATTTAGAGCGGTGGGTACAATAATTATGGCCGACTTGTGTATTCTTTCTCTTCCTTCTTTATTATCTTTCTTAATTAATTGCTTGCTTATTGCCCTCCTTTCACCCATACGTATTTTCTATTATATGAAATGGTTTTTATTAGATGATCTCTTCTTCCCATTGTGAGTGATTTTATTCATTTTGACATATTCAAAAAAACAATTGGGGATATCAAAGTAGAAATTGAGGATATAGTAATTCCATTTTGAACTTTCTGCTAAGGGTAAAATCTCCCCGAATAATTATTATGTTTTATGTAGCCATCGCTCATCATACTTTTAGGGGTTGTTATTCTAACTAATATTTGTGTTATATTTTTTGCAGGACAGAAATGAGAAGTTATTTTTCCGATTAGTAACGGATAATCCAGAAGAGATGATGCCCCTTGTATATACTCCCACAGTAGGATTAGCGTGTCAAAAGTTCGGTTTGGTTCTTCTAAAACCTAGAGGACTCTTCATCACAATTCATGACAGAGGGCACGTCTACGAAATATTGAGAAACTGGCAAGTCATTCCATAATTTCACGAAAATACAATGAAATAATCGATTTCAAATTCACTTTTAGGCCTGAGCTAGATGTACGAGCAATTGTAGTCACCGATGGAGAAAGAATTTTGGGTCTAGGAGACTTGGGAGCTAATGGTATGGGAATACCAGTTGGAAAACTGGCTCTGTACACCGCCCTAGCCGGTATCAAACCTCATCAATGTCTGCCCATAACCTTGGATGTGGGTACAAACACCCAAACGCTGTTAAACGATCCATTATATCTTGGCTTGAGACAAAAGAGAGTAACTGGCAAAGATTATGATGACTTCATTGAAGAATTCATGCAAGCAGTAGTTAGACGATTCGGACAAAATTGTCTCATTCAGTTTGAAGATTTTGGAAACGCAAATGCTTTCCGATTATTAGAAAAATACAGGAACAGTTACTGCACATTTAACGACGACATTCAAGGAACCGCCAGTGTAGCCGTAGCAGGACTGTTAGCCTCCCTGAGAATCACTAAGACAAGACTTTCTGACAATGTGATAGTGTTCCAGGGAGCTGGAGAAGCTGCCTTAGGTACATTTATCTATTCTAATTTGAACACTGAGCATACAATAACATAGGGCACATTGGATTTAATATATGAGAACTGCTGATACTTCTGACACCTTAAAAAGGGTTACCCTCTTAATTTACGGGATCTTGGGTTGTCGTAATTTACTACGCAAGATTTCATGACTGCTGTCCATGTTTTTAGATCAGGCTTTTAAGTTTCGTTAAAAGACTTAAAAGCTTGGAATAGAAACATGAGGTATCATCAGTGTCCTCCCATTTAGAACTTTTGAACCGAAGCAATGGAATTTTAAAATTTCAATTTTTTTTTGTAGGTATCGCAAATCTATGCGTGATGGCAATGAAACAGGAGGGTACTTCTGAAGCAGACGCAAAATCGAAGATTTGGTTAGTGGACTCGAAAGGACTCATCGTGAAGAACAGACCAGAGGGTGGTATAACGGAGCACAAGGCTCACTTCGCGCAAGCTCACGCCCCAATTAGAACACTAACCGAAGTTGTAAAGACTGTGAAACCATCTGTTTTAATTGGAGCGGCGGCTGTTGGGGGCGCTTTCACGACTGAGATCCTACAGGAAATGGCCAAAAACAACGACAGACCAATCATTTTCGCTCTCAGCAATCCAACGAGCAAAGCAGAATGTACTGCCGAACAAGCTTATACTCACACACAGGTAAATCAGGTGTAAAATCACCATAAGTGACTATCGAGAATTATTCGGTGATTCAGGAATTACCCTCTTGCTTTTTATTTATTAACAAAATTTTGTTGTGACACATTAAAGGGAAAGGCGGTCTTTGCCAGTGGATCACCGTTTCCAAACTTTACCCTGAACGGCAAAACATACCACCCAGGACAAGGCAATAATTCGTACATATTCCCTGGGATAGCGCTAGCTGTCGTATGTGCCGGAATCAGGACAATTGGGGAAGATGTATTTTTAATGGCAGCAGAGGTAATATATTTTTTATTCAATTTTTTACGCCTACCCAAAAAAATTATTTTAACTGCGACTTCTAAGAAAAGTTAACTAACCATTCAATTTTAACGTATTTAATTTGCTTTGAAAATAAATTTATGGGCGGGTGTTTTAAGTATGGTACGGATAATCTTTTACAAAGGGTGATTCTGGTATCAGTAGCAAGATTTAGAGGGTGTGAACTAGATACAATAGGGAATACAATGGTGAGTAAAGCAGGGCGATTAAAGAACAAAAAAAGTAGAATCCGGCCCTGGGCGTGAATTGGCAACTTATATGCGGCGTAGCAATGTCGTATTTCCTACCAGATCCGGACTGGCTCTCGCCTGTACTTTCAAATACGTTTTTCTCGAAAACGGTATACTTTCGGACAACCAAACATTAACGTAATTTCCTTGTTTTATGGGGTCCTATAACCTCCTGCAATCTTGCTACATATTTCAGAAACCCCATGTATTTATAATTTTCTCTAAAGGGCTTAAAAACTAATTTTCAATAAAAGATTGCCATCACAGGTTTTTATTTTCCTTTCAGACGTTGGCCAATCTTGTTTCCGAGACTGATTTGGAACAGGGAAGTTTATATCCACCCCTCAGTACCATCCAGAATTGTTCCCTTAGAATTGCAACGAAAATTGTAGAGCACGCATACAAAACTGGTATGGAAATATATACAGGGTGTGTGTGTGTGTGAACTAATTAAAATATGCAATTCGTTCTTTTATAGGCAATGCCTTTGTTTTTCCCCAACCGGACGACATCGAAGCATTCATCAAAGGCCAAACGTATAACACAAAATATGAACCAGCCATTCCCAGCATTTACTCGTATCCAGTTTAAATTGAAAATAAATTTATTGTAACTTATTTGCACGTATCTCTTTTATTCTGTTTTTTTTTTGTTTTTGTTTTGTTGATTGCAAATTATTATGTTCTGTTTGTTGCGAAGAGGTGTAATATATATTTGTTTTTAAAAATTAATGGTGCTGGCCACTTTAGTACGTCTTTGTCGTATTGTCTACAAATAATTCTGTTGTAAGATGAATAAATAAATGACATAAATTATTTTAAATGCGTACCTTTTATTGTATGTGTACAACAAACCCGATCCTTTCTTCTGATAATGAAATGAATAATCTATAATAATAGAGGTACTTCACCATAACTCTGTTGTTTTATTTGGGGAAGTACCATACAGGTCAGACATATTAGAGGCAGAAACGGGATTGGGAGGGGTAGAGGTAGATCTACATTAGATTAGTGTTGGAAAATAGTTAAGGATGTGGGTTGTTCTAGTTTCAGGGAAATACGAAGATTAGGTTAGGATTGGAGAGAATGGAGATGCGTATCCAACCAGTCTTAGGATTAACATACAGGTCAGGTAATATGACTTTAAAATCCCTTCAAATTCAGTTCCTAGTCTTTACAAAAAAACACAATTCGAATGAATCTCTTACTTTCGGGTTTTACTTCAAAAATGGCCCCATTGAACTGTCAACCTTTCCGCAAACTTTTCTACGAACAATTTCATACAATTCATTGAAACCATAAGTTGGAAGTTCTGACAAGCATATTGATTGACGTAATTAATATTACCAAATAATAATATTGGCAAACGAAAAACGAAGAAGTCGCGTTTCCAAGGGTTTCCCAAGAAAATTTAATATGGGCCCCCACTCTTGGCTAGTAACCCCAATAGTTCCACCTGACTTAAAATATAATTTCAAAGACCGCGAAAGCTACATTGCATTTTAAATAATGACCGAATCAATCAAACACTGTGTATTATAATCCTAACTAATATTAAAAATTCCCGATCATGAAATTTTGTTCAATCAATAAAAAAAACTCAAACACGAACAAAACCACGTGTAAAACCTAATTATTTATAAATATTATAAGTTATCAAAATTCTCTCGTGTTCATAGCGTGAGCGTAGTAATAACGGTTTCGGTTATGGAGCCATTACATATACCGTCTGATTCTGACTGAAACACGAACTATATACGTAGCAGAAAACACATAACAAGTCGTCTATTTGTATATAAACCGGAGAGGTTATATGTTCTTTTTGTAACAAGAGGCATGATTTAGTCGGCAATGATAACTAATATGATGTAGACGTCCGCTCCAATGATCTAAATTAATTCCAAGTTTATGTATTTGTACAATATTCCATAAATTTGTTATTTCAAACAGAAAGATCTAAATATTTAAATATGTCTTTTACTGAAGATGTCGCAGACGAAAAACCGTTTTTCGTAGATAGAGCAAAAGTTGGAAGAGCGGCATGTAAAAAGTGCAAACAGAAATGCCCAACGGGAGAATTAAGAATTGCAAAACTAGTGCCAAATAACTTTGGTCCTGGGACCATGAAAAAATGGTACCATGTGGACTGCATGTTTGAACAATTTCTAAGACAAAGAGCGTCCACCATAAAAATTGAATCCGAAGATGATATTGGTGGATGGTCAGATCTCAACGATGAAGATCAAAGGACAATCATGGCCAAAATCAATGACTTCAATAACAAACTTATTGATAAAGCATCCCCTGCAAAATCACCAGCTAAAAAAGTCCAGAAGAAGTCTCCAACAAAGAAAAAAACTGAAGATCCTCCAGCTTCAATTTCTCAAGAAACCAACCACTTAAACAGTGACAATGACACTGTTTCAAGACAAACCAATCACAAGGATAATCAATTCAGAGAATTTAGACGACTTTTGGCGGATGTCACAAATGTCAGCAGTTACACAGAGAAGACTGCAATCATTGCAAAATTATTCACCCAAGGGAGTGAAGGAAATGGATTTAAAGGTAATTTAAATAGACTTCCATTATCTTATTCAATTTTTGTCACCGCCGGAATAGTAGAGAACCGCAAAGAGAGCCCTGAGGCACTCCTTGCTTTTGCATGAACCATTTTTCGTTTTCAAATGTACTCCTCTTCATTTTCTTGTTGTTTTTAGGCGATATAGCACAATGGTGCCGCCTTCTTTTACCGGGCGTTGTCAAGAGGATTTATAATCTCCAAAGTAAACAACTCATAAAACTTTTCGCCAGAATTTTCCAAGTAAACCAGGACGAGATGATGGAACATTTGGAACAAGGTGATATTGGAGAAACAATACAATACTTTTTTGATCAAAGTAGCGCATTTAAACCGGCCAAGAAGAGTTCCCTGACAATCCAGGAGGTCGACGATTTTTTGGAAGAACTTTCCAAACTTACCAGAGAAGAAGATCAAATGAAGCACTTTAAGATGTTCGGGAAAAACTGTACCGCAAATGATTTAAAAATCGTCGTGCGATTGATAAAAGGTGATCTGCGAATCAACGCAGGAGCCAAACACGTACTAGATGCAGTCCATAAGAACGCATATGAAGCATATCAAGCGTCTAGGGACTTGAATTCAGTTATCGACAGGTTCGTTTTTGACAAACCCAATTTTGAAAAGCAAATCGCTATTAAAAATTACAAAACAATATTTGGAATTTTGAACAACTTTATGAATAAAAATTTTGCAATATGCTTCATTCAAGGATGTGGGTTGTTCTGGTTTTAGGGAAATGCGAAGATTATCTCAGGACAGGAAAGAGTGGAAGTCCAACCAGTCGTCAGTCCTAAGACTGGTTGGGCACGCCCTTCCACATTTCCCTAAAGCTAGAACATCCCACATCCTTCACTATTGGTGAACAGTAATCTAATCTAGGTTTACCTATACTCCACTTAACTCCTATCTCTACTTCTAATATGTCTCTGACTAACCCTTCATGACTGAGAAGGTGTCCTACCAACCTATCTCGCCTATTTCTTATTGACTTTAATAGTGGCCTCTTTTCTCCAATTCTTTCTAATACTTCTTCATTCCTAATCTTCTCTATCCACGGTATCCTCATCATTCGCCTGTAAAACCACGTTTCAAACGTTTCAACGTCGCGTGAATTTCTAAATTAACCGTTCGCGAGCATAGAAGTGACGACTTTTTGTTGAAATGACTCGACCATGTGCTATCCTCTGTTTTATATCTTTACTGTTCCTCCCAATATGACTATTTACGAAAAATTATAAGATAATCCCAACACAAAAGCATGTATTTAAGAGAGGCCAATTGTCATCATCATGAGGTCGTCAGTTCTAAGACTGTTTGGACACGCAACTCCACTCCTTCCTATCCTGAGCTAATCTTCGCATTTCCCTAAAACTAGAACAACCCACATCCTCAACTATTTGTGAACACTAATCTAATCTAGGTCTACCTCTACCTCTCCTAACTCCCGTTTCTGCCTCTAATATGTCTCTGACTAGACCTTCATGCCTGAGAAGGTGCCCTACTAACCTATCTAGCCTATTTTTTATTGACTTCCATCGTCCTCTGTTCTTCTATAATACCTCTTCATTTCTAACCTTCTCTATCCACGGTATCCTCATCATTCACCTAAAACACCGATTGAGAGATTTTTTTATTTAGATGTTTGAAAGGTTCCGGAAAAGTATTAGCGGGTTCATCGATTAAAGCAAAAATTTCACTGATGACTCCAGTACTTCCAATGCTAGCTGAAGCATGTAAATCAATTGAGCAAGCAATGAAAAAGTGCCCGAATGGAATATATTCCGAAGTAAAATACGATGGCGAACGTGTTCAAGTGCACAAAATGGGAAACGAGTTTAAGTATTTTTCGCGCAGCTTAAAGCCTGTAAGACCCCACAATGTGGCTCATTTTAAAGATTACATTCCACAAGCATTTCCTCATGGAAAGGATTTAATTCTTGACAGCGAAATGTTACTAATCGATACCCACGATGGTAAATAACAATTAGTTTTTTAGTAATTGTGAAATTAGTTCTTTATTTTTTTTCGTGAAGGTAAGCCACTGCCTTTCGGAAGCTTGGGGGTCCATAAAAAAAGTGAGTTCAAAAATGCAAATGTTTGCCTTTTTGTCTTCGATTGCATTTATTACAACGGAGATGACCTTACAAATAAACCTCTCGAACACAGGAAGAAAATACTAAAAGAAGTTATGACAGAAATACCAAATCACGTTATGTTTTCGAAGATGGAGATCATACATAAACCCACTGAGTTAGCTGCCATGATTTCAAAAGTTCTGAAAATGGGGTTGGAAGGTCTTGTACTGAAAGACTTGAAAAGCGTGTACGAACCTGGTAAAAGACATTGGCTAAAAGTGAAAAAGGATTACCTGTTTGGAGGAGCAATGGCAGACAGTGCGGATTTAATAGTTTTAGGAGCTTGGTACGTTTTTTGCATCTTGTATCAATTACATGGATATTATGTTAATTGGACGATTTTTGTTGAAGGTTTGGAACCGGAAAGAAGGGTGGAATGATGTCAGTATTCCTGATGGGTTGCTATGATCCCAGAACGAAAAAATTCTGCACAGTTACTAAAGTCCACACTGGACACGATGACAAAACGCTGGAACAACTCCAGACGGAATTGGACATGGTTAAAATAAGTGGAGATTCTACTAAAGTCCCCGACTGGTTAAAATGTACGAAGTCCATGATTCCTGACTTTGTTGCAAAAGATCCAAGGAAACAACCCGTTTGGGAGATAACAGGGGCAGAATTTACTCAACATGACGTTCACACTGCCAACGGAATATCCATTAGGTAATTAAACGATTCATAACCGATAAATTTCTATTACGTATTCCCTTATTAGATTTCCGAGGGTTACCAAAATAAGGGACGATAAAACTTGGGAAACTGCAACGTCACTGAAGGAACTCAAAGCACTTTTCGAGAAGTCTAAAACCAATTCTGACATAGGAAAATACTTGGACGATTTAAGCAACGAAAATGACGACTACGTTAATTCTGAAACGAAGTCACCAAACAAACGGAAAATAATAAACGAATCGGACGAAGAAAATGCATCGTCAATTAAAAAACGAAGAACATCGGAAACTGAAATCCAAAACAATCAAGCCTCAACATCTACTATGGATGACGACGCTACTTCAAAAAAGGAAATCGATGAGAATAAAGATACCAAAATAATCAAACCGCTACCAAACCTCTTTGAAGGAGTCAAATTAATTGTAGAAAAAAATGGAGAAAAAAGATTTGCTGACTGGCTCAGATACTTTAAGGCATATGGGGGAGAAATTTTAAACGTTGATCAGAACTGTACCAAACCAACCCACTACCTCCACATAAAAGACTGGGTTGCAAGTATTGATCGCAACTGTCCCAAAACTGTAAAGCATATTATTATAGAATGGATTCAACACAGCATTACTAATAACGAGCTGCAAGATGTAAGGCCTTATATGGTAAGGTGGAGACCTTCCATGAAAACCGATAGTCCATGAATGTTACAAACTTTACTCAAGTCAATGAATGATAAACAAAAAGTGCTGTAAAATTTTATGATTCAACATTAATACGATAAACGAAGATGTACAAATGTACATAGTTTGTAATGTTTATTAAACAATAATATTTGTATTTAAAATTAAATAAAATCGTTACCACCAAATGCATAATACATTTTTATGCCTTAATATGAACGCTGTTACTGAAATATTTACTAATTCAATTTCACTTTACTTCTTATTTGATATCCATGAATGATAATAAGTTATTTAAAAACTACAACTAGTAAACCTACACAGATGTTAATTAATTAATAGCTTTTATTTCTTTTCGGCCTTTTGAATTTCTTAGTAAAAAGTTCCAAAATTTACCTCCACTTTGCTTTGCCTGAACTGAACTATGCGTAATTAAGGATCTTCCAAACTTTGCTCAAAAGGAACACATTAATGAATACTAAGTATTATAGTCTCAGAACATTTCAGTTTGGTGTTCAATGCTTCAGAAGTTGATGAAAAATTATCCCCCCTCTACTCTAATCAGATCGATAAGTTCAATATATTGATTTGAAGTGCTCGATTTACTGTCAGACGTGATTTGTTATAGTAAACACCACATTTAACGCTTACTAATTAAAGTTATTAGAGGAATATATAAAAATGGTAACAATTTCTTGATGGGTAAGTGAATTAAAAATTGTACGATAATTAATTAATATTTTTCATAAAAGTACAGTTTTACTAACTGGGGCCTTAAAACAGCAACATCGTAAATAATAAAAAAAAAAATGATATGTACTATAAATTTTGATAAGGATCTAGTACCTAAATTAATAAAATTTTAATAAATTGCGATTTAATTTTCAAAAAGTAGACTAAGCATTTTTTGGTAGGTTTAAATAATAACAACATTAAGATATACGCCGTTATCAATAAAAACCGTACAATTTTTCAATTAAACAACTCTGCAGACTCCTTTATCTATCCGAAAAGTAAATAATGAGTATGAATAATTCCACTGTTTATAAGTTTATATGTATAATTAAAATACCGTAAATATTACAGTCGGCAACAGTAAGGATAAAATCATGTGAGAAAAACCTGTCACACTTTCCTTAAAGTGGGGACTTTTAATCTATTGTAAAGAGATAAGATAATACAGTCAACAAAATATTTTTAATTTAGATCGTCATTTCAACGTACGTATTCAAACAAACTTACCGTTCCAGAAAACTCTTTAGAATGTCAGGTGAGACATAGTTTCTTTTTTATATTTTATGGTTAACATTAAAATTGCAACATAACGCTACAGATTTTTTTTGCCACTTAACACACTTGTAAATATCCCGTATTGGAACTGTTTAAAATTGAATAAACTCATGGGTTGTTATTTAGATGGTTAAGGTCATCAATTTTAATGTTGACTACCGCTTTACGCATTTAAATTGCTGGTCAGTTAAACTAGCAATGCAAAAGAAAATTCATTGCTGGTATAACAACCTATTCCATGTTCACGAGTTCTGAATGGTAGTGTTTTTTAGATTACGATCCCAGATTTAACTATCCGAGTTCCTTATCGTATCCCCCCCCTCCCGAAGGACGCTCCCCGCCTCCTCCTTATGCAGAGCATCGCGGTCCACCTCCCGCTTGCCAGTATCCTCCACCTCCTGGGGGATATTACCCTCCACCACCCTTTGGACATAACCCTTCATCGTCTGAAGGGCAATACCCACCTCCAGCAGGAGAATGTCCATATCCTACTGCTCCTCCCCACGATACAAAGGATGCTGTACCTGTACCAGGATACGGGGCACTTTATCCCGAATTACCCAAAACTTACTACCCTCCACCACCGCATAGTAACTCGTCAAGCTCTTCTTCATCTCCATCATCTACATCTTCTAACCATACGAGAAGCAATGGTAAGTTTTTATGTTTGTATGAATGTTCAAAATCAACATCCTAACACACGCTTACTATTAAAACAGCATGCTAGCAAATTTACTAACTTCTAACAGCAAACATTTTCTATAAAATTATTAAAAATAATTGTGTTACTCGATGTACTTTAGACAAAAATCACAACATTACGTGACGGGCTACATACTAGGGTCAATTGAAAAATCCCCGGCCTGACACATAGATGGCGGCACCAGAACTAAATCCGTATGATTTTCAGTTAATCCTAACCTTCAAAAGACGCGTCTATAATTTTGACGGCTGTCGGATCATTAGTTTGTGAATTATAGCATTTTTAGTGAAGCAACTTTTGTTATTGTGAAAAAAATGGATAAAAAGGAATTTCGCGTGTTGATAAAATATTGCTTTTTGAAGGGAAAAAATACAGTTGAAGCAAAAACTTGGCTTGATAACGAATTTCCGGACACTGCCCCAGGAAAATCAACCATCAAGGATTGGTATGCTAAGTTTAGACGTGGTGAAATGAGCACCGAAGACGGTGAACGCAGTGGACGCCCAAAAGAGGCTGTTACGGACGAAAACATTAAAAAAATCCACAAAATGATTTTGAATGACCGTAAATTGAAATTGAATGAAATAGCAGACACTCTACAGATATCAACGGAACGTATACATCACATCATTCACGAATATTTGGGTATGAGAAAGCTCTGTGCAAAGTGGGTGCCGCGCGAGCTCACTTTTGACCAAAAACAACGACGAGTTGATGATTCAGAGCAGTGTTTGAAGATGATCACGCGTAATAAACCCGAGTTTTTGCGTCGATATGTGACAATGGATGAAACATGGCTCCATCATTTCACTCCGAAGTCCAATCGACAGTCATCGGAGTGGACTGCACACGATGAACCCGCTCCAAAGCGTGCAAAAACGCAACAGTCGGCTGGCAAGGTTATGGCGTCTGTATTTTGGGATGCGCGTGGAATAATTTTCATTGACTACCTTGAAAAAGGAAGGACCATCAACAGCGACTATTACATAGCGTTATTGGACCGTTTGAAGGACGAAATCGCCGAGAAACGACCGCATTTGCAGAAAAAGAAAGTCCTGCTTCACCAAGACAATGCACCGTCTCACAAGTCAGTGAAAACGATGGCAAAAATTCATGAATTGGGCTTCGAATTGCTTCCGCATCCACCGTATTCTCCAGATCTGGCCCCCAGCGACTACTTCCTGTTCTCAGATCTCAAAAGAATGCTCGTTGGGAAAAAATTTTCGTCGAATGAAGAGGTGATCGCCGAAACTGAGGCCTATTTTGAAGCAAAGGACAAATCGTACTACAAAAATGGTATCGAAAAGTTGGAGGATCGCTATAATCAGTGTATCACCCTTGAAGGGAATTATGTTGAATAAAAAAAACGAATTTTGCAAAAAAAATGTGTTTTACTATTTTAGGCCGGGGACTTTTCAATTGACCTGTTATATCTATCTTAATATCTCTATATTTTATCAAGTCTGAAAAAATTCTTACAGGGTGTTTTAAGTGGCAAAACGTTAATTAAAAAGTACTAACAAATTATCAGGCAAGAACATTTCTTTTATTTTTAGCAAAGAAGCAGCCTCCTAAGTATGTCCCTCCTCCGCCAGGACCAATTTATAGACCACCCTCTATAGACCCGTCTTACCGAGAACCTCCACCTCCTTACACACCTAGTCCACCACGACCCCAAACAAATCAGACTTACTATCACAACAATGCCGGTTCTTTTTCTCTGCATGTAACTTGCTGTTGTTGTTGTTGTTGTCATTTTAACAACCCCAACAATTCGCGACCTAACTACAATGGTTGTCGCCACCGTCGTGGGCCACATAATAATAAACAGCATAGTCCACGGATTCAGACTGCTAGTTATGTTTCTCCGCCAAAACAAAAACGTACTGAAAAAGTCTTTATCAAAACCTTAAAGAACGAAGCGAGATATTCCACGAATGAACCTGTTCGCAGCCATTATGAAAGCGTACCTCTTGAGGGTAAGACTGAAAATAGCAGTCAATTACTGTAACTTTAAATTTTTGAATGACAGATGTTTCAATTAGAGATGCAAATTCTTATTCACAAGAAAAAATAAACACAAGAACTGTATCGAAATACAAATAATTTGGTATAGTAATCAATAAATAAGGCAAGTTAGGACAAACGACCTATCCCAATACAATCTTAATTACCTATTTTCACTAAATAGATTTTTTTGTTATACCTACTTATTGAATTATTATTGCTGGTGTTTGTTTTTTGATTTTCCTTTGGTAGATTTCCCCGGCACTGACGCGTACCCGGTGTCACTATACGGTACCTAGCCAAATCCTAAAAAATGCCGGATTCTAATCGGTTATCCGCGACCCATTCTCCATGATTTCATACTTTTATCTTCCAGCTGATAATTCCATAATTATTCATGAACAATAATCACATTTTTTATCACTAAGTTATAATATCTCCAAATTTGAATGTTCAAGTACCTACAAGAACGACTACTAACTTCTGTTACTAATAACTTCGTATTTCGTACGAATTTTTTTGCTAATACCATTTTGTTTACTACTGTTATTTATAAACGATCCCAAGAATAATTTAAATATTTAGGAGCGGGATATTACTGGATAGACTGGACATCAGACAAAGGAGTTCCCCCCACAGCTGTTCACGGAGGGATAGACGTAGACGGGGCAGAGATCTTTGTAGGACGTGCTTACCATGAGGGAGATTGGATCCCAGCAAAGGTGATTCCCAGCAGACAAGTGGCCTATGTTGCATATGGGGGCGGAGAACACGTCAAACATAAATTTCAGGTAATAAAAAACGTAAAAATATTGGTATGTAGGGGAAGAAAAAGTAGGAATAACGTGAATATAAAGATAGGAAACGAAAAATTGAAAATTGTCGTTGATTTTCGGTATCCAGGAAGTCAGATAATTCAGGATAAAAGGAGCAAGTAGAGATATAAAGCAGAGGGTAGCGCAGGCTTGAGTAGTCTTTAACAAAAAGAAGTCACTTCTATATGCTCGCGAAAAAAAAAAGGATAGAAGTGTTCGAAATGTGGTGTTACAGGCGATTGATGAGGATACTGTGGATAGATAAGGTTAAAAACCAGGAGGTATTAGAAAGAACTGGAAAACAAAGACTACTACGAAGGTCAATAAGAAATAGGCGAGATAGGTCGGTAGAACACCATCTCAGTCATGAAGGACTAGTTAGAGACATATTAGGAGCAGAACAGAAGACGCTAAGGAAGTCAATAAGGAATTGGAGGAGATAGGTTGGAAGGACATCTTTTCATGCATTAAGGGCTAGTTAGCGACATATTAGAAGCGGAAACAGTAGTTAAGAGGAGTAGAGACAGAACTAGATTAGATTACCGTTCACAAATAGTGCGTGTTCAACCAGTCTTAGGACTGACGACCCTAGGATGATGATGATGAAAAAACAGCAGAATTTTCGTAAATAAATCCTAAAAAGACTAACTTATAGCCTACAGGGTGTTCTAAGTATTTTTCCCGGGTTGTTTTGCCAACATCCACAAAACAGCTCGGGAAAAGACTTAAAAATAGATATGCAAGTAGTTTTTTAATTAATAAATTAAAGTTTCTTTAAGAAAGAATCCGAAAAGTACTTGTTTCAAATATGAAATAACATTGGATCATTGCAAAACAGTCTCCAGAACAAAGTTTTGAATTAAGTTAAACTTGAGTGGTTGCATTTCCCATCTATTCAAGGAAAGTTTAACCCTGAACGTTTTCTAATTAAAATTTATATATTTCCTTCTGCATATTTCTAAAAATGAGTAGAATAAGTAAGAAGTCATCCTGTATCAAAAAATTTTTTCAAATTTTTATAGGTTTTATGTGAACAACGTTTCGATTGGGTTCCTAGTGGTGGAGGCAACATTCCCTTCGGAGCCGTTGAGGGAGGACGAACTTCAGATGGAGAACTTCTGTATATTGGACGCGTTTGGCATGATGGAGCACATACCGTAGGGAAAGTAAGTAATAAAACTTTGCTAATTTCGAAATCGAGCGCGAAAATAACGAAAACTAGTCAAAACGAAATATTTTGTTAATTACATGCGTTGATTTATCTACAAAAAAATTACGAATATGTAAAAAACTTCTGCAAGCAGAGGAAGTTATTATGTCTCATGTACATATGTACTTTAGCCTGTAGCAAGAAAAGAATGCCAGTTTAAATTTTAAAAATTACGTATCAGGGATAATCACAATTATTGCATCTACAATTGAAAACGATTACAGTTTGCTTTCCTTTGTTTATAGATTCATCCAACTCACAGATGTCTCTACATTCCATTCAATTGCACAGAAATGAGTTTCTCAGAGTATGAAGTATTGGTGTTGAGAACTTAATAAAGCTCTTTTAATAATAAGTAGCACAACTCAGAAGTGTTACGAAACATAATCTGTATTCAAAATAAATCTGTAGTGATAAGAATATATACTTAATTTCTTTTTAGTACTTAATAACGTATGTCGTCCAATTGCTGTGTTATAATTGGAAGTTTACGTGCCTCATTAAAACTGTAGTACTGTATTTGTATTATTATATTGCATTAAATTTCAATTGTCAACACATGAAAATGTAGTATCATTGACGTTAATAGCTGCCTACTACAATATCATAGAATTTTATTTTTTTTTCTCTTTATTTAGCCTGACAGCGACTAGATTACTTTAAAATTAAAAGTTTATTTGTACCTTAAGTTGTAGTACCGCATCTGTTTTGTTATATTAAATTTTAATTATCAACATTAATATAAAATTATTGTAATTTTCAATTTTTTTTTGTTTTTTTCTAATTCAACACTCCAGCCCTATTATATCTGAGACCTAGATAAATACTATTCATCATCATCATCATAAGGTCATCAGTCCTAAGACTGGTTGGACACGTACCTCCACTCTTTCCTATCCTGACCTAAACTTCGCATTTCCCTAAAACTAGAACAGCCCACATCCTTAACTATTTGCGAACAGTAATCTAATCTAGGTCTACCTCTACC